AGGCACTGGAACAGGCTGCCTAGAGAAGCTGGGATGCCCCATCCTTGGAAGTGTTCAAGGCCAGGTTAGACAGGATTTGAGCAACCTGGTCTAAGGGAAGGTGTCTCTGCCCATGGCAGGGGGTTGGAACGAGACGATCTGTAAGGCCCCTTCCAACCCAAGCCATTTTAAGATTCCATGATATTTCATTAAACTTTTAATTCCTTCAGTATTAGTCTTCTTTGCTTCAGAATATATTTTTTCTTGATTACTAGCTAATTGCTAACTTAGCTCCATATAAGCTAAGATCAAAACTATGGTCTACTCTACCATATGTCTTTCCTGTGCAAAGCACTTGTAGGGGGTTGTTTTACACAGAGCTTTCCATCAATTTCCAGCCTGATGAATTCTTTCTGTTGACACCATTATCATGGAATAAAAATTACTTGTTCCAATTTAGCTTACTGTATTTTGAATGTATCTTTAAACCCATGCAAATTTGAAGTTTTTCAGTAATTTTCAAGCAAATCACAGATCACCTCCTGCTATAAAATGAGTATGAATTTCAGTTTCCAACATATCAAGATGATTATTCTATTCACTTTTTATTTTATTTATATACATCATTATTCAAAAATCTGAAAAACCTGAATGGCATGTAAACAATGAAGATGCCTGCATTTCCAAATCTTTTATATTTTCCCCCCATTTCACTTACAGGTAATGGTTTACCCTTTCTCTACCCCTCCCCCCCTCTCCTATGCTCCCATGCAATGTGCAATTCATCATTTTTTTCCACCTTCAAGTTAAATCTATCTGTGGATTATGGTGAACTGTAAGAGAAGTGTTATTGTTGAGCCCCTTCTGCTCTATAAAGCACAGGAGAATCCAGCTCCTTTAAGAGATTCTGGGTGGGCCTTGCATGCATTGACACATGTTCACATATGTAAGGTTGCATCCTGTATCTGCCTATAGATACCAGCACTTCTGCAAGGAAGATCCTTAAGCTATTTCATTTATTTTCTTAGGCTGAGTGATGCCAAGCACACTTTCTCTATCAATCTAGAAACAGCAAGTCCTGGATTTTTTACTTTGTTTTTAACCTTTTAAAAAATGTAATGGTGAGTGACAGATACCTCTCCTGTAGCTCAGCATATTATCTGCATCATGCTCATTTTGATCCTGTGATAAACAAGGGTAAAGCACCACAGCACAAGGATTTGGTTTAAGACCAAGAGAGTCCATTATGTTGGGGATTATTTGTTTGTTTTCTTTTTAAGACAAGCAGAGTTAGACAAGCAGAACTTACATGCAATTACTCTCAGCCTGTAGCTGACCACCACTGCTGGCAGGAGGCTACAGGCTTTGTACTGACTTTGCAAGGCCTCAGGACTGAGCCTCATTTTGTCTGAGCTTTTATTGACCTGTTTGTGGTTTTCTTCCACTTAGTTGTTGCAACAGCAATATCTCTAATGGGAAGGTAGCTATGTCTAACTGTTTTACTTTTGTTTAACTTTGTATGGTGCCATTGTGGCTTTTACATGGAGAGTGACAAGAAGTTCTGCTGTGGACAATGAGATACTTACAACTAACATAATGATGTATAACATCATTTATAACTAACATAACGATGCATAACATAATAATATGTAGAGGAATACAGGCCTGGTATGACAGCAGTCCCCTGAGAGTGGACTCACAGGACACTGTAGAAGAGGCAGAGGATGATGAAAAAAGGAGCACAGCCTTGGCACTGGTGAACTTGGGGCTACAAAGAGCTCATCAGCAGTCAGCTAAAGCAGTGCAGACCTGGGAAGTGGACAAAGATAGCTGAGGGATCACACAAAGAACAAGTATGTACCATACAAAATGGCATCCCATATAATACAATTGGATGTAAAGTGGAGCAGTAGACAAATGGATAAAGAGCAAGGTGTGAAGGCATCTTAAAAAACACATAAAAATAGCCCCATAACAGTTGTTTTTCTCAGCAAATTTGTTGGCAAGACACTGATGACCAGCTGCAGCCCTGACATCCACTGCTTTACAAAGGCCAGCACTCTCAACCATTGGTCTCAGAGGGGCAGTGAAAGGGTAAGCACCACACCAAAAAAAGACAGACAGGAAGAGTGTGACTGCAAAAAATTGAAATGGTTTATTATTTCTGGTTTTTTTTCTTTCAGAAGTAGTAGCATTCCTAATTTCTTAGTAGTAGCATTATTTATTAGCATATTTCTTAGTATTAGTAGTCTTTAATTTCTTTCTTTTTTATTTTGTTTTAGTAATAATTAGCTCTCACCTTTGATTAGACTGTTACATTTTACACTACACTAATAAATTTTGAGTAATGTGGGTTTCTTTCCTCTTTTTTTTTTTCCAGAACCAGTCTCTGTGTATAACATTAGTAATTGGAGCAAAGGATGCATCTTTTTGGAAATTTGGGCTTAACAATCTCTCTAAGGTCCCAGACGGCATCTGGCACAGTCAAAAATAGAATAAAGATATCCTGTCTCCCAGTCTGGCACATTAACTACAGGACCATTCTTCCTGCCTTTGCTTTATTTATTACATTGAAATAATTATTATGCATACTGAGCTCTTTGAAAGTGCATTGCTATAAATACTAGAAAAGTGAGCACGTTGTAATTTGAAAAATACCAACTCCTTTTTTTTTCAGTACATCCTTCAAACCATGGAGCCATTATGACAGACCCCAGGGAATAATACTGCCATGACTCATGGTCCGATAATACACAATTTAGTGCAGATCAGCACGATGACAAAGACAGGCATTGCATAACAAAATGACAAAGGTGAGTCCTGCACAGTGGAATGAGCTGTTTCTTTCCTCAAAGCTCAGGGCTTACCCACAGGTTGTCAGCTGGTTACTAATGAACATGAGCTTTCAGAAACACAACCAACTGCTCTGGACTGCATGCTTAGTTTTCCTGCAGGCCCCACTCTTAAACCTGCTGAGCAGGACTCAGGTTCTTTCTCGGTTACTGAGATTATCCTGCACACTTGGTGTCCTTGAACACTTTTGCAGTCCACTTTCTCCTCTCAGTGTTCCACTAGACTGCATTGTATGATTATATCAACTTGTGACTTGAGACAGATTTTACAGGCAGGTCTCCTCTGAGGTCCTCATTCTGAGCAGAGGCAAAGATATGTTTTGTTTTTTCCACACCAGCAAGCTTTACTGAAATGCCTGGTCGTTAAATGCTTGGGGCATGCCTTCCATGGGGATACAGCTGAGGCTTGTCCAGGTAAGTGTGGGCTGGGTAATTAAATCTCCTTGAGGCACTCAAGCAGTCAATTTAGGTGAGTGAGTAGCCCTTGTAAGGGCTGTAAGGCAGATGGTGTTCTAGCTGGAGCACTCTTTGAGAACACTGAGTGTGCAGAGGCGAAAGCAAGTGCAGCGCATGTGAAGGAACAAGTGCACTCAGCTGCTACATGGGCTTGCAGGCTGACAGTCCACAATACTTTAAGTGTACTGGAAACACAGTTCACTTGAGGGCTAATTTCAGATGAAAGAGTAAACATGAATCCAGGAGTTGCCATTAATTTTTTGGTCCTTTTTTGGGAGCACTTTCTTTGAGTTTGACCTGACAGTTTGAACCCAAAGTGAACTTCACTTTAATTTGTCTACTAGCTAACAATATATGTGAAGTGATTCCCTCTTCCCCAGGCCATTTGTTCTGGTACAAAGACACAGACCACAACAGAAAATAATTTGTAGAGAGCAGAAAGAGCAAGCTGAGGAAGAAAATGATGTTCATGACAATAACCAGCTCTATGTCATGGTCTTAAAATGGGAAAGGAATGCCAGCTCTGGGCATTGTCCTAACTGGATGATTTCATTCACAAAAGCTCTTGAGCCACTTCTTCCAGAGTGATAAAATCCATGAGTAAAAGCCTCTCACAGGCAAATATCTGTCGGTGGCAGCAGCCCTGTCACAAAGCACACATCTCCAGTGGGCTATGATGCATTCAGTGCAGTCAGTGTGAAATGCCACAGTTCTGGATTACTTTGAGTTTAGGAAGTTCCAAGTGGTTTGTCAACAATACTTCTATTTCTAAGTTCTATTTCTACTTCTGTTTTGTGGAGTCGTAGCTAGAAAGTATTACTTTCTATACTGTATATGAGGATACCAAAGCACAGCAAGATTCAGAGGTTTAGCATTATTTATGATCTTTGAAATAAAACCCAAGTTACCCACTATGTGTGGTAGCCAACTCTGTGGGATCTGGATTGAGATACACACTTAAGGCTGTTTGTCACAGACCTTCAAGATACAGGGGGCCATTTCTTATGCAGCAGATCTTCCTAAAACTCAATGTATCCTCATCATGTGGTGATTCTGCCTCATTAAAACCATTCTACCTTGAAGCTCATCTGGTAGAAAAAGCAACCCCTTAAGATGTGGCAACTGCTGCTAGCTATGCCTGGTTAAGACCAGGATCTGTAAAGATTCAGAGGTGCTATCTTATCTAATTTTTTTTCTATTAAGTTACATTCCTTCTTTGCCTGTCCTTAGTAGGTAAATTCTCATGGTTGCAAATGTTTTGCACAGAAAGGTGATGTGCTGTAACTGCTACATTGATTAATCTTTCCTCTATTTCTTTTATTATCCTTGAATTACCGGACGTTTTGAGAAGGAATGGTATCTTTTGTGATGAGGCTGGCAGCATGCCACAGTGATGAAAGATGTCCTTGTAACCGGAACAAAGAAGCCCGGTTAGGGATCCTGTTCCCAGCGGGAGCTTTCTTGGGATGTTTTATGCGCCCCAAATGTCCAGTGAAATACTAGCTCCAGAGAGACACCTCAAAAACCCCCACCAGCCCCAGGCCCCGGCTTCACGGCACCCCACGCGATGGCTCCCGGCGGGCGCACGGAGCCGTGAGGGCTCCCCGGGAGGGCATCCCCGGGCCCGGCCGGGGCTGAGCGCCTCGCCCGCCCCCGCAGCCCGGGCGCGGCGGAGCCGGCGGCCGCAGCGCGGCGTCTGCGTGCGGGGGGGCCCATGGCCAGCGCGCCCCGGCCGGCCGCACCATGCCGAACAGGGCCGGCCTGGACACCGCGCTGAAGATGTCCCTGCGGCGGAAATCCTCCAAGATCCACTCCTCGGCCGGTGAGGAAAGGGCGAGGCGAGGCGGGCGGGGAGGAGGCGCCGCGGCGGAGGAAGGAAGGCGCGGCGGAAAGGAAGGGAAGGGAAGGGATGGCAGCGGCGCCTCCATGGCGCGGCCGCCCGGCCCTGCCGCCCCGCCGGCCGCGGCGCTCGGGGATCCCGCAGTGCCTTCCCCGCCCTCGGGGGCTCCCCTGGGCGAGGAGGTGCCTCCGGCGGGGCCGGGGCGAGGCGCTGCCCGCCCGCTGCCCGGCCCCAAGGGCACCGCGTCCCGCCCGCAGACCCCGGCCCGGCCCCGCCGCACCTCCCGCCCGTGCCGCCAGGGCCCCCGGCACCCTCAGCCCGCCGCGCGAGCAACCCCTCGCCCTCTTGGCTGTGACAGTTACTGACAGCGACATTTCCTCTGGTCAGAGGGCAGCACCGCCGTGCAGGGGACACAGCGGTCCCCCAAGCCACCCCGCCGGTCAGGGGCCTCTGTCCCGTGACCAGGAGCGGGGAGAGCATCAGGCACTGCAGTGAGCCTGCGGAGAGGTCAATGACAGGGTTTCTTAAGAGGTGCGTTTTGGAAACTGTTTTCCAACTAGTCCATAAAAAGAAGTAGACAGAAATGGAAGACTTTGAAGGTAGAATTCTCCTCTCAAAAGACTGACTTCTGTAGGAGCAAGGTGCATTCAGATTTTATCTGTGGTATGTTCTGCTTGGGCATAGATGAAGCATCAGTGACATTGCTGGTGACTTACAGACACCCGTTCCTGTGCAAATTATTTAGGTGCCTAGTACAGTTTCTGTGGTGAGTAAAACTGTAGTATAATGCTGTTTCAGCACTTTTTGTTTCAATGAGAAATGTGCACATTTCCTGATCAGATCTGCTTTGGGTTAAATCTCAGAGCACCTTGGAGAGCATTTGCTGGATTGCTTTTGGATGATGCTGTATTTGAAGATGTCCTTTAGCCACTCATGGCTGTTCAGCTCATGGAACCAGGCTAGAGCTAGCTGAAAGAAGAAAGCCACCTTCCCTTTGGCTCCTCTGCACAACCTGGTCACTCTAGTTACATTTTCCTGTTTGGTCTCACTGCTTGGTAGCAAGGACAGAACGTCAGGGACTTCTGCATAGCAGCTGAAGTGGGATGCTGAGCAAAGAGGTGTGTAATGCCTGCTCAGAGGAAATGGTAAGGTTTCAGGGTAGGATTTAGCATATTACCAGCTCTACTTATCTTCAGCCTAAGCCATTCAGATGAAACAGTTGCAGTTAAGCAGATTCCACTTTCCAGTGTTTGGGGATATGTCCACTTCTGCAGTCCGATCTGAAACCCTGTCCTGTGATAGGAAGGCTCCTTTCCCAGAACTGCAGTTTGGCAGATCTTTTTGTGACTTAACCTTTGTAATCCAAACCTAGGCTCCTTTCAGTGCTTGGCACTTGGAGAATGTTTAGCTTCAGTGTAGCATGCATAAGGAGTTTAAGCTTCAGCTTTTGTCAATGACAGAATCACAGACAAGGGGTTGGAAGGCACCACAGAAGGTCCAACCTCCCTGCTCAAGCAGGGTCGTCCTAGAGCACATTGGATGGGATTGTGTCCAGAGGATTCTGGTTCAATATTTCCAGTGCTTGGTCATCCACAATCCACAGTCATACTCATGGATCTAGGTGGTTAAGTTGTGCCTCGATGCGCTGGGTGGTTGGGGCACCCAGATCTTCTAGCTGGGATTTATCTGTACACAGACTCAGACTTTTACATGTTCCCTGCGTGTCACATAAGAAGAATCCAAATTAGATGATACTTTGAAGAAAGGTGGGAGTTGCTGGTTAGCATTAAGATCAATTTCTAGCTCTTGAACAATGTATTTCCTATATAGAATATTTTCAAGGGGAACAAGAGTAATATCTAGTATCAAGTTGATTGTAGTTGGTTTAGTACACTAGAGCCAGCTCTGGTGACTTAGGACAACCAGAACCAATCTCTCTGCCACCCAGAAAGTCCTGCCTTCCCCATTCCTGTGCATTCCCACTGCCTTGCTTGTGTCAGCAATAGCCATTAGATGGTTACCTGTTCACCAGGATCAGTGCTGATGTGGCTCACTACCAGCCTGTATGATCTGAATGCCAGCAGGGACCAGACACAGAAAGGCAGTAGCTTTGTTTTTCACAGCATGTTGTGGCTTGGCGTGCAGATCTGCTGTCTCTGGGGGCCAAACAGGTTCAGGTGAGGAGCTCTGGGCTGTGTGAACCCAACTGTAAGAGCATGCATTTGGAGACTGAGCCACAGGCCACTGACAAGCAGTTCAGATGTGGTTGTGTGGTGGCACTGCAAAATCTCAAGACCCTTCTGAGCTGAATGGTGTGGAGGGAGAACCGGTCACCCTATTGTCATCCTTAGTTAGGGTCAGGTAACTGTCTCTATCCATTGCAGGTTTTTTGGCATCCATGTATCAAAATGTTCACTCTCCTTTTAAGAAGAGAAGATCTTTCCTGCTCTGAACTTTTAAAGTTTATTTGCTAGTTTTGTTTACTTTTGAGGGAGTTTTGGTAATCTAAAGTATTTGGTTTTAGTTTGGGTCACTGAGATTTATTCTCATACCATGTAAAGCATTTCAGTAGCTTACGGACATTCCTCTTTAGTCAAGAAGAACACTGCATCTGTGATGGTCTAACAATATCTTTTCGTCTCAGATTTTCGACCCTCCTGCACTTGGTAGTGTGACTTCCACATGTGCTAATACAGTATAAAGTGCAACTGGAATATTTGATAGAGTTTTAAACCTGGTTAACACCGGTATAAAGCACTTGCCAGAAAAACAGATGACATGAAAAGGAGAATTTAGAGATGAGAAGTCACCTTCTGCCACTCAGATGATCACTGCGCTTCTTTTTTATGCATTTGCTCATTAATCAATTTTTTTCCTTGTACAAGTAAACCTTTTTATTGCTGTAATGTTGTACCAACTGAGCTAAATTGATTAGATTTAAATTATTCTCAAAGTCTCTAGCTCCTTACTGTTGTAACCACAGACATCAAAGACTAACTTGTTCTTCTCCTTCCTGCCTCCTTAAAATCACTAAAAATAAGAAACTGTCAATAAGACATTGGATTACAATGGCACTTTTATTTTTAGGGGAAAAAATCGAATTTCAGCTTTATAATGGATTAAAGGTATAACTGATCTCTACATTATTTACTGTGGTCTTTTTTAATTGTTCAGTTATACACATCAGCAAGAAAAGTATTTTTAGTGTAAAGGTAGTAACAGAATCTTCTCTCAGGACATGGTTTTCCATCTACTTTTCCTGTGAAATGCTTGCTTATAGTTTATGCTGTGATTTTGATTTTAGAGTCTTAGTCCTTTCCTTGTAAAGGATCTGTCTCTTCCATTTTTCAGAGAAATGTCTATGCAAGAATTTCTTTGTGCTATTTTTGTGCTGTGATATAATTACCATGATTGCAACTGTTGGGAAGCATCATACAGAGCAGTTAAAACCCTATACAGGCACTTGTACTTTGGTCAAAGCTTTTATCCTTGATCAAAGATGGTTAAAGCATTGGAACAGGCTCCTCAGGGAAGTGATTGGGTCACCATGCCTGGAAGTGTTCAAAAATGAGTAGACATGGCTCTTTGCTGTAAGGTTTAGGGGGCATGGTGGTATTCAGTCAAAGGGTGGACCTGGTGATCTCAGAGGTCTTTTCCAACTGTTATGATTCTTTGATTTTATCTGTAGTCATTTACATGTTAAACATAATCCCTACAGATACATATAAAATGCCCAGGAGCTACAGGTGAAATATGTCATCAGCTCTGCATGATTTACATATGGCTGTTGCTGCTTCAAATGAGGTGTAATTTGGTTTTGTGGAGGCAGGTTCAGGTGGTGTAAGGAGCATGGTGAAGGCTACAAAGCTTTAACCTTGAAGCTCACTCTCATCACCTCTACTCACAGGATTTGTACATCCTATTTTGCAGGAGGATCAGCAGTTGCCTTGGATGCATTTTTAAGCAAACAAACCCCTATGAAGGGATCAGCAAAGTGCTGAGCTAACAAATTCTTTAAAAACTATTATTAAAACTGTTTAAGTAAGAATAAAAGCCCTGAGAGAAATGTACCTGGCAGGAGTAGTGACAGTGGGGACTGACCAGGGGGGTGTACTTCCTCAGCAAATGCTTTAACCACCCATTAGCATCACCAAGAGTCACTGAAACATTGAGCAGGACGATTGCAACCATAGTGTTGGCACACAGAAATTCTGTTCTGTGATTCAGGTTTTATCTGTGGTACATTCTGCTTTTCCAGGTGAAGACTGAACTGCTACCAGTTTAGTGGCAGAAGTTAGTACTGAATAGACAGACTGCTTCAGTCTGTGTTTGTTCATGCACACACTCAAACTGTGTGGTGGCAATTCAGTGTGTTACAGACCTCCCATTGTTTTTCATCCGCGTTTAACTGGCACACAGTGCAGTATAATGTGCAGCTCATTCTATCACATCAAAGGCCCATCCTATTTATGTAAACACCAGTGACAATTATAAACACCAGTGACAATTATGCCTTTTGACAAAGCGCTCATCCCAATAAACCCCATGCTCTACGTTACTATGTTTCTGTAGTAGCACAAAGGGGAACCTTCTCAAGCTCTGTGGGATCTTGCACGACTGTAAAGTGAGGTGGTGACAGCGTCAGGGCTAACTGGAGGCCGACCTGAACTTCTGCTGCCTTTGCTTAAAGCTTGTTTGGCTGTGAGAGTTGGTTTGCATTAGAATCGGAGGGAATTTAAAATACCTCTGCTTAGGACACTCAATTAGAAAAAGGTGACTTAAGCACATTTACTGTGGAGCAACTTCATAAATAACCAAGATCCTAGGTAGAGTGGCAGAAGAAACATTTTTTCCCTACTCTGATGAGGGAGGTGACATTATTAATAAATTCATTAAAGATCAAAGCACTCAGATGATAAGGAATATGTTATTTAGGAGTTAATTGAGGACATAAGAGATTTAACTACCCTTCTGTTTCTAGG